CCCCTAAAGCAAATGAACCCCAAATCGAAAACAAAGAAGAAAACAACTGTAACTCAAGAACAATAGAAAATACACTCAAATATTTAGACAAAAAACTCGAACAAGCTAAAACAAAAAGTCGAACCTCCATAACTTACGACCTCTATGATGATGAAAAAATGAACTCCCTAACTGATCACAACTCACAAATCCTCGACATCGACAAGCGACCGCGTACTCAGAAGCATAACCAAAGATACATCTGCCCTACTAAAACTCTTTAAGCTAAAGACCAAAAATCTAACTCTTACCAAAGATTATACAGTACATAGATGGGACATCTCATACAAAGAAAAATTTTCTATGGCGGGTTCCAGCCGTGGAACCCGCTGGAACGAGCGGGTTCCATTGCGCGACAAGTTAAGTTTGAGAAATTTTTCGCGAGACAGCGAATGAGGAATAGCCGAGTGGTAGAGTGCTTGGCTGATGTGCAAAGTAAAACGAGTTCAAACCAGGCTCGGGACATCCATTTTTTTTAATTTTAAATCTATTTATATTATTGTTTTATTATTTTAATGTGTTTTCCTAAATTTATAATCCAATAAAAAAAAATACAAAATTGTAAAATCACCTTAACATCGTCTCAGTTCGTAGTGGAACCCGCTGTAAAAATGTCTATAAGTGCGGGTTCTACGGCATTTTGGTAGGCCGCGTCGTGGAACCCGCTCTCAAATGTTTTCATTTTTTCCGTCGTGGAACCCGCTGTATAATGAAAACATTTGAGAGCGGGTTCCACGACAAACGCCTGGCAGATGAGATAGGGAGAGAGAGAATTCTATTTTTAGATCGTAACATCTTTGGAACGATGAAAGTTTGAAACGATGTAATCGAACCAATGTAAGAGTAAAGAGATCAGAAATATCTTTTACTATCCTTACTCGTCAACTCTGTTTTTGGTATAGATTCTAGCGCCTCCTTTAACACCAATTTTAAGTATCATAAAATCAACTTCGAGGGTAGCCTAGATGGATAGTGCGCGATCCTTATTCATGGGGTCCTGGGTTCGACTTCATTAGCGGGCGGTTGTTTCAATTTTGATAAAGTTTTAGTTTTATGATTCTTTTTATATTTACTTTTATTTTATTATTTTTTTTACTTTTAACTTTTACGTTATTATTATTATTTTTAATTGCATTCTATTATAATGGTTGTAAAAATAAGTGACGGACGTGTCGGATGACAAAATACCGGAAGGACTCCCTTGAAATTTTATTAGCCGTACATAATGAAGAATTAAACAATTTTACAATTGTAAAATTAAAGAAAAATATTACAATTAAAGAAAAAAAAATAATAATAATTATTAAAGAAAGAAAAAGTTCAAAGTCCTTACGAGGATTTGAACACATAAAAATTACACATAGAGTAGCTACTCTATGCATTACGCTACCATCCTGTCTAGATCTGCCGCGATCAAAAATACTATTTCTTCTACCAACTACCACATCGGCGCATCGAAAACAGAAACGAGAAATCGAAATTGAAATTTGTAAGCCAAAACATTTTTACTCCGTCGTGCGAGCAGTCACACATACACACATAGGTTCACATTTTTGTTGACGGATACATGGAAAGAGTTCTAAAAATAGAATCGTATGCATGTGCGTTCCCCCCTCACCAACAAGCTCGACGCAAAAAGTTGACCGTTTTGGGCCCTGATGTCCCATCTATGTACTTTATAATCTTTGCTCTTACAACCCGAACGCTATAAAACAAACACAAAAATATCTTTAAATTATGTCCTTAAAAATATTGCAATGGAACATAAAGGGTTATGTAAATAACTACAACCAACTACTACTACTTATCAAAATACACACTCCACACATTATCTCACTACAAGAAACACACATTCAACACTCTCACAACCTACCGACACCAATAAACTACAATACATTAACAAATATTCCATCTAACAGCTTTGAAGGAGTATCCCTGCTAATCCACAAATCAATTCAGCACACACAAATCAACATTAATGAAGACGTAGAAGCAATAGCAGAAGAAATTAAATCCAAGCAAAAATTTAAAATTTACTCCATTTACATCTCACCCAACAAATCTTTTTCACGCAATAATCGGAACAACGTACTGAACATCAACAACGAAATAGTCATGATAACAGGAGATTTTAATAGCTGGCATCAAAACTGGGGGTCCCCACAATCGAACACAACAGGCAAGATAATAGAAAAATGTTTCGAACAATTACAGCTTATCCTTTTAAACAATAAATCACCAACACACTTTACTACACACAACACTTTCACCCACATAGACCTCAGCTTCTGTTCTCCTTCACTCATACCGCTCACAACCTGGAACCTGATAGATGACCTTTATGGAAGTGATCATTTTCCAATCCTCATTACACTCTTTCCGATCGACACCATTATCAACAAAAAAAAAAACAAATTTTTAAAACAAATGAAGCAAACTGGATAAAATTTGCAATACACACACACAACACTAACAACATATACCCTTCATCATCCAACATAAACAAAGAAGCAGCATTAACAAAATAATTATACAAAGCGCACACCATACAATACCACAGACATTACCCAACAGACACGCACAGTTCCTTTGTGGAATAAAAAGTTAGCAGACCTACACATAATAAAGAAACAAACATGGAAAGTACTAAAAAGACACACAACCCATGAAACGATCATAGCATACAGGAAAACAAACGCACTCTTGAAGAGGGAAATCAAAATTAGGAAAAAAGAACTCACAACCATATTCACATCATCCAGTCAAAAATTCCTACAACTAAAATCTGGAACAACATACGGCGATTTTGCGGTCTTAACCCTGTAAAGCAAATACATTGCATAAAAATCAACAACAACGAATCTACCAACGACAAAAACAAAATAGCCACCCTGCTCGCAGAACACTGGTCCAATCTCTACAAAGACACAAACTTCAGTCAGGAATTTACGAGTTTGATCGAGTAGGTAGGTATCCACTCAATAGTAGATCAATTAATAGAATGGAAAAGTGGCCACAAAATAATAAACTATGTGATAAACTTTACAAAAAACAGAAAGATAACAGTCAGAAAAGGGACACACAACTTATACATCTACCCCTTGAAAAACGGCATCCCACAAGGATCCCCACTTTCTGTAGTTTTGTTTTTAATTGCCTTCAATAAGCTACAGCCTTAAGCCTTCAATACCTACATCCTTACCATCTACAAGCAAATCCACTTCAGCGCATACGCAGACGATTTCCTTTTAATGATCAAACAAAAAAAAAAGAAAAACGCAACTGTCAACCTAAACCATCTTATTAGGAAAATAGATAGCTGGGGAAACTACTCAGGCGCATCCCTTTCGCAAACCAAATGTCAACACCTACACATTTGCGGGAAACAGAGATGCAACTGCACAATTACAGCACAGAACTCTAGCATAAAGAACGTTACATCACTTAAAATACTCGGACTAACCATAAATAACAAATACAACTGGAACTCACACATCACCTCTCTCATACCATCACTTTCCAAAAAACTCAACATAATAAAATGCCAGGCCAGCCCAAAATTTAACTGCAACACAAACACCCTACTAAATATCACAAAAGCCATACTCATATCTAAAATCGATTACGCACTTCAGACATACGGATACGCCCCAAAAAATACGCTAAACAAACTAAAAACGACATTAACTGCAGCACTAAGGCTACCCTACAGTGCTAAAATTCCTTCCCCGACTTTTCCTGGCGACATGTTCGAAAAACAAAAACAAATTTTATGGGCTTCGTTTACTTAAGTCCGAAACGAAGGGGAAACTAAACTTCTACCTGCTTTCGGTTTTCGACAATGATTCTCGCAGCTTCTACGTCATATTTTCGGAGCACAGGCACGCGACAGAGACAATTAGAGAGATGTAGATGGAGGGAAGGGAGAGAAAAAAATCTGTGTTGAAAACCAAATTAATGGAAGCGACGTCAGAATACCCTTTTTAAAATATGTTGAAATATTTATATATATTTAAGATTACATTTATTTAATTTTTCTTATCTAATCATGTGGCATATTGAAATGTATTAATAATTGGCTTTAGGCAAAGCCAAAATGTTCATGTTTGATTATTTTCCTTGTGCGATTCTAATTACAAGGCATTGCGTTGGTCGACTATACCCTGGCACGCGCCAGAATTATCGGTTGTCAATTTTCGGTTTCGTCTTGCCTCTCCCCTTCTCTTTGCATTTGATTTTCAAATTGCATCGAAAGAACACGCGGTTGTGAAACAAAGAAAAGTTTAACAGGCATGCTCCCGTTTTCACTTTCACAAGATTTTTTTCGAATTCCAAAACGTGGAAATTTGTCTTGTCTAAATGAAAAGTAAATGACTTTTTCTATATTAAATCGGATCTTATTTGCAAGAGGAAAAAAAGTAGTTGACTTATTGGTTTATTGTCGTTCTTTTAAGACCTTTAGAAGATCAATTAGGGTTGTAATTAATAAAACGATTAATTTCTGACCCCACCTCAAATTTGGATATCAAATTTTGCCGTCGGCAACAACAATTTTCGTTTTGGTGAACGACCAATAAGTCCGACACCATGAGTTATCGCCTAAGCTGCCATACTTTTGATAGAATGAAAAAGCAAGTTAAAAATACTTGTATAATCAAACGGATAGCGATAAATTTGTTGTAGTTGGATAAAATATGTTTTTTAAAAATTAATTAATTTAATTTAATTAGTTATGTGCTAAAAGTGTATAAAAAAAATTGTTGAAAACACCGGAATGAAATGAAAATGAAATCCATTGAAAAGGTGGCATCCCCTTAATTTGTGGGAAACAAATGATTGCCTTTCAACTGTTTTTAAAAATGTGAGTAAAAAAGTTTAATTTTATAAAAAACAAAATTATATTTCAATTCAATTATATTTTAAATTATAAAACAATATATTATTGTTTGCAGGGGAAACACAAATCAACATTTCAGGGTGAAGTTATTCTTAATTTTTTGCAGGCTAACGAAATTCTGGCGCGTGGATTCGCCAAAGGCGATCGTGTGGATGTAGAAGCTAACTGGAGCGAGCTTGCCGGTGCATTGAACGCAATTGGCCCTCCAATTAAAGATGTTGCGGGATGGAAAAAGGTATGAGTATCCCCAGAATTATGACAAACTAATATGCATATTATAATATTACATTCCAGGTTTGGTGCGAAGGCCAATATTCCGAAGAAATAAGGCAGAGGTCAGGGCTACGGGCGGGGATCCTTACTGCCAGCAACCGCTGACAGCCATGGAGGAGGACGAGGCAAAGCTCTGCGGGCTTTTTGAGATGGTCGAGGGAGTTGGCGCTGTGGCATATGGAGCACCAACCACCATGATAGTAGAAGAGGTGGCTAAGGAAAAAGCTGAGAAGATAGCCACAGAGGAGGAGGAACCGAGCCGAAAGCGTCGCCGCACAGTTGCAGAATTTGATTTGCATAGTCTGTGCGTTGCTCAAATAGAGGAAATAAAGTTAATTAATTTAACAATGACTAAGCATTTCCAAAAAATGGAAAGTCTTCAACAAGAAGACTTGAATTTAAAAAAGGAGCATTACCAAAAAATGGAAAGTCTTCGACAACAAGACTTGAATTTAAACAAGAAGGAAAGCTAACTTCGGTCGGAGCCGAAGTTGATATACCCTTGCAGTTAAAACCGGATATATATCGCAAACATCGGATATAGTTGGCCGATCCTAATGAAATTTGGTAGGTTAGATGAACTGACCAAACCAAAACTAGAATCTGTACCAAGTTCCAGCTTTCTATCTTCAAAAACACAAAAGTTGGGTCATTTCCGATCGTTTAGTTATATGGCAGCTATAGGATATAGTCGGCCGATCCTTATGAAATTCATCACGTCGTATTATTTTACCAAAAGTAGCTTTCATGTCAAATTTAAACTCTCTAACTCTACAAACACCAAAGTTATACCATTTCCGATCAATCAGTTATATGGCAGCTATAGGATATAGTCGACCGATCCCGGTCGTTCCGACCTATATACTGCGTGCAAAAAAAAGAAGGGTGTGTGCAAAGTTTCAAGTCGTTAGCTTTAAAACTGAGAGACTAGTTCGCGTAGAAACAGACAGACAGACAGACGGACAGACGGACAGAAGGACAGACGGACAGACGGACATGCTCATATCAACTCAGGAGGTCATCCTGATCAAGAATATATATACTTTATATGGTCGGAGATATCTCCTTCACTGCGTTGCACACTTTTGGACAAAATTATAATACCCTCTGCAAGGGTATAAAAAGGAGCTACTCTCTAAGTTAGAACAAATTAAAAAAAAAAAAGAATAAATAAATTTTAATAACTGCAATGAATAATTTGTTTATTTATTTTGTTATTGTAGTGTGCACCTCATTCCAAAACCAAAACAAATATATAGGTAGGCCAATATTTCGTTGCTCGACTGTATCCACCCAATAGATGGGAACAGAATTGCATATGCATGTGCAATTCCCACCCACACTTGCATGAACGGACCAAAGTAGGTAGAAAATCATACGATTACTCCGTTAGGCAGGGAAGTTTTATGGAAGCATGGGAATGCTCAAACTCTTGGCAGTTCTTAGCATTTAGTCTTTTCTGATCTTTAGCCGAGTAAGAAGTTTCCATCAGCGTATTTTACAAGCGATAGGAAATTCGGAAAACACGTGTGGTGATTAATTAAAGAAGGAAAACACTTGTGCAACGAAGGCATTCGGCCTAAAATAAAATTAAAATCAATAGTTATTGATCGTGTTGGAAAAATTACAAGGTGAGACATTGCTTAAATAGTTCCAATACGCCAACATGACCAATTCTTTGTCAGGGGGCACAGTGTGCTACGATTCCGTCCAGGTGCTGCCTGATAGGCTTTGCATTTGGAATTTGGCCATTGGATCGGGCGTAAGACAGAGCTGAACCAGTAGAACCCCAGTAACCCCCCCAACATGGAATAATTGGGACACCTTTAGCTTCGTGATCTTCGCAAGGACCGCCGATAGAGTGACGTAACCAGCGACCGAGAAGCCCAAGTAGCGTGCATTAGGGAGGATCAGAATGTAGAGGAGAAATAACAACAACAACAAATAACTGTTGCCGCTGCAGTTCACTTTTGTTTATTTTTGTGCTTCAGCGAGCAGCCAGCCACTTGTTAGTGACAGTTTCTGCATTTTGACAATTTTCTTTTGTGAGCCTGAATAGACCACATACCAGTATTACACAGTGCAAAAAAAACATTAACCTTGCCTGCGAGCATGCGTATGTAAACACTTTCGGCAATATTTAATTGCACAAAATATTCCAAGGCGAACCTCGATAGCCGCGCCAAATTAGTATCGAATCCCACCCCCAATTAATATCATGTATAATTATCTTTAATCTAATTCTATAAATCCTTAATTTTCTTAAAATTACCTAAATGTAAACTCCAAGGAGTATGAAGTATTTAGCCTAGGACCTTATTTTAAGTAGTTTTCATAAGCAGACAAAATCAGAAGTATTGGCCAGGTATTTCCCCAATGTATTCTTTCTCTTTTTAATTAAGTAAACAGCAAAAAGCACCTCATCTTCTTGGGCCCAACGATCGATGCAGAGTCGGAAAAGCTGAGTGAGTAAACGAGTAATTACCGAATTTGAATACAATGGGAAATCCATGCCATTTTCTTTACTTTGCCATTTGAATATTAGTTTAAATTGAATTTTCCTTAAATTGTATTTACTTATGGATTATATTTCCTTATTTTTGATTATATCTAATTATACGTAATGAACATGAGATAAATTCTTTTTATTTAGAGCACTTCGGGTCAAACATGGCAGTTGAATATGGGTAGACTCCACTGTTAGTGTCAAGTCTACATGGAAGGGAGGGTATAGACGAAGGACAACAACACCTAGTCTTTCATTCAATAGGGTCAGTAGTATAAACCACCCAAGGATCGGCCAACTCCTACCGCTTTCCTATCCCACTTCCTTCTCTGTCTACGACAAATTTCCGTAACGTACACAGTCTAGTTTGCCGTGCCCATACCCACGCCCCGTTCGACTGAGCCAAGCCGTCCCCCAAGTAGACAGAGGGGCGCGGTAGAGACCACCCGTGCAGTGTTAGGGACAGTTTACTGTACCTAACCTTATGACTTACTGTACGCGTTCGTTACAGTTATTTATGGCGCCCAACGTTGGGGCAGTACAAAGGCAGGAATCCGTCAGGATAATGCCAAGAGAATGCCCAGACAATTTTCCCTTTTCCCTTTCTTTTGGCCACTTCCCAAATTTGATATTTAAAGTAGAGCAGCGCTTGTGTATGTAGACCAGTGGATTATTGTGACTCTGAGGATATCGGACACAGACCGTGGATATACAGTACGCAAGGAATACGGATTTCAATCGAATCCAAATCAAAAGGTGACTGGGACAGGCATAGGATTTTTATTATTGAGCCTAATTCGATTTTATACCATGTCAGTCTAGTTTCTTTCTCTTCTTCATTTGCGAAAACAAGAGTGAGATTGTCTATATTTGGTTCATATCGAAATAGTCCTCCTCTATTTCTCGTATATTTTTGTATTGCACTTAGTCTAAAATAAATCTCTACTGCCCTAAAACTTACTAATCAATGCCATGTGAGAACCGAAGGTAAGCCTCTAAAAATTATTATCGATCATATTATTTACGTCTTGAATCTTGATTAAGATTATTATCGCCAATTTCCGTTATTATATCTTGCGTGAAGATGTCTGTTAGGAGAAGTACCGAAAACATAGCAGCCACTCCGTTGGAGAGTCAGGTGTTGTGTACCATTTGCAATGACACGAACCCTAGCGATAGTATTATGGAAACCCCATGCAAGCACAAGTTTCACAAAGCATGTCTGTTAGAATGGCTTGAAACAAACGATACCTGTCCAAATTGTAGGCAAAGCTGTCCGCGAGCTTTGATGATAGATAGACAATGTACTCCTTCCGAGCGTAGAATGCCAAGTAACTCACAGACTGACCAGGATTCTAACCCAAATCATTCCGGAGCCATTCCAAGATCTCGTATGAATACTAGATCACAGCTTTCTAACAACCCAACTACAAATAATCAGCGAACAAGAGCAGGTAGCTCGAACCCCAGACGCGAGACCGTACAGGATAGGATTTCTAGGGAACAAAACTCTATGTAAGAGGAACGTATTCAGCAAATTATATCCAGCTCAATGGAAAGCTATAGAGCAAGTATTACAGCCTCTATTGGAGACCAAATAACTACAGCGATTAGGAATTTGAATATATTCTCTCGAGACCCGCGAGAGGAACCCCAACTTGAATGGGATAACGAATTAGCACCTCCACTACCACGAGTCAGTAATGCTAGCAATGCGCGCAACTAATAATTTAATTCTGGCGCGTGCCAGGGTATAGTCGACCAACGCAATGCCTTGTAATTAGAATCGCACAAGGAAAATAATCAAACATGAACATTTTGGCTTTGCCTAAAGCTAATTATTAATACATTTCAATATACCATATGATTAGAAAAGAAAAATTAATTAAATATAATCTTAAATATATATAAATATTTCAACATATTTTAAAAAGGGTATTCTGACGCGCTTCCATTCATTTGGTTTTCGACACAGATTTTTTTTCTCTCCCTTACCTCCATCTATATCTCTATAATTGTCTCTCTGTCGCGTGCCTCTGCACCGAAAATATGACGTAGAAGCTTCGAGAATCATCGTCGAAAACCGAAAGCAGGAAGAAGTTTCGTTTCCCCTTTCGTTTCGGACTTGAGTAAACGAAGCCCATGCAATTTGTTTTTGTTTTTCGAACATGTCGCCAGGAAACGTCGGGGTAAGGAATTTTGGTACTGAAGGGTACATAGAACCTGCTTTACGAAACCAACACACCAACAATTGAACAAAAACGTGACCACCTGACAACCCAACTACTTAAAAACCTTATGCGCTCCAAAGATACACCGATACAAAGGAAACAAAGGAAACCTACAAAAACCATTCATTTATCTACACGGACGGATCTAAACAAAATTCAATAGCAACATTCGCTGTAACAACAGATACAGAAACAATACATTACGGCAGCTTGCCACCTTACTCCTCCATCCTTACAGCAGAAATGATCGGAATCCTCGAAGCCGTCAAAATCGCGATGAACAAGAGAGGAAAATTTGTTATCTGTTCCGACTCTCTGGGAACGAAAGAAGCAATGCGCAACCCATTAAACCACAACAATTACCCCGCACACATTAGATCACAATTACAACTGAAACAACCAAAAATAAAAATCTTGTGGATCCCAGGACACTCTAACATAAACGGAAACGAACTAGCAGACAAAACAGCAAAAGAAGCAACAAAAAGGCCATTAATATATACTCCAAACGTAAATATAAAAGACATCAAAAAATTCCTGAAAACACAACTAATGAAAGAAAACGAGACAATAAACAAATGCAACACATGGTACAAAAACATCAACACCAACAACGTTCACACACCGACATTTTCTAACATAATTCAAGAAAAAATTAGCAGAATAGACCATATTAAATTTATAAGACTTAGATTAGGATATTCAAACCTAACACACAAACACCTCCTTGATGCCA